GGATACTGAATGCTGAGAATAGTTCCTAAATAATTCTGGACAAATTCATAAGAAATTGTCAGCGTAATTCTAAGTAGATTCTAAAGAGAATTCCAACAGAATTTGAAGAAAAATACCAAGAAACGATTGTGAAGATGATTCCTGGTCCAATTCTACAAATTATTTCAAATAAATTCTAAGAGTAATTTCAAGAGAGTTCTGATGAGAGTTCCAAGAAAATGCCGAGAAAGACTTTAAAGATATTTAATACTGATAATATTTCCTAAATAATTCTGGACACATTTCAAGAAAATTGTGAGGTTAGTTCCAATTGTTTTCTAGTAAGAATTTCAAGGGAATTCAGAGAAGGATACCAAGTAAAGATTATGAAGATGATTCCAGGTTCAATTCTGAGAAGAATTTCAAGAGAGTTTGGATGAGGGTTCCATGAAGATTCCAAGAAGGGCTTTGAGGACATTGAATGCTGAGAATAGTCCCCACATAATTCTGGCCAATTTACAAGGAAATTCAGATGTTATTTCTAAGTGGATTCCTAGGGAATTCGGAGAAGAATACCAAGGAACGATTGTGAAAATTCTGAGGATGACTTTGAGGACATTGAATGTTTAGAATAGTTCCTAAATAATTCTGGACAAATTTCAGGGAAATTGTGAGGTTAATTTCAAGTAGATTCTAAAGAGAATTCCAATGGAATTTGGAGAAGAACACCAAGAAAATCCAATTTTGGGAATTATGAGATGAATAAAAATTCAAAGAGAATCATAAGATGAGTTCCAATATTCTTCTGTAGTTTTCTCCAAATAATTGTTGGACTGTAATAAATAAAACTCCAAGGAAATATTAACACTCCGAATACGGTGAGTAAAATACTTTACGCCGACTACGAATCCTTCGAAAAATGTGTAACAGCAAGTTTGCAATGACATAACTTAGCCATTTCTTGATGAATTTCAAAAATTATGGTACCTCTAGGATTCCTAGGCACTGTAGATTATTTTGATTGTAGAAAGGTTGGAAATGTGGTCGTCTACTTTTTTTCAAAAGCGAAAAGAGTCGTTTTTTTTAAAGGTGTGTTTATGGGTTTTGCAAGTGGCTTAAGGTCCATAATTAAGATTAATGGGCACAAATGTTCATAATTAGGCAGAATACAGTCATGGTTCCTATATACGTAACCTGGAGATAACGAAACGGTCCTCGAAAGATCCGGAACATCCGTAAAAGTGGTCAATCCACGAAACTGATCCTAGAGTTCTACGTTTTTCCATAAACCCCTGATCCTAAAACTCCGCGGTTCTGTCGAAAACATTAGGAACTGTGATATAAGAAAGAATTTGGGTTCATTACATAAACATGAACCCGGATGGCCTTCGGACCGTCCTCTGGAACATCCGGCACATCCGTAAAAGTGTTCAATCTATGAAACTGATCCTAGAGCTACACGGATTTTTTTTCGAAAACACTTGGAATTAATTAGGAGTCATGGCATAAACATGTACCTAGAAGGCCATGGGACCGTCCTCCGGAAGATCTGAAACATCCTTAAAAATTGTCAATCTATGAAACTGATCCTAGAACTCCGCGTTTTTTCGAAACCATTAGGAACTGTGATATAAGTTAGAATTTGGAGTCATGACATAAACATGGACCTGTATGACCATAAGACCGTCCTCCGGAAGATCCGAAACATCCGTAAAAGTTGTCAATTCATGAAACTGATCCTAGAGCTCCGCAGTTTTAAAACAAAAAAACACTAGGAGCTATGATGATAGAATGAATTTGGGGTCGTGACAAACATGGACCCTGATAACCATGAGACTGTCTTCCGAAAGATCTGGAACATCCGTAAAAGTGGTCAATCCATGAAACTGATCCTAAAGTTCTACGTTTTTTTCGGAAGCATTTTAAACTGTGATATAAGAAAGAGTTTGGGATCATGACATAAACATGGACCCGGATGGCCATGGGACCGTCCTCTGGTAGGTCCGGAACTGCGGAACCCTAGGATCAGTTTCATGGATTTACCACTTTTAAGGATATTCCAGATCTTCCAGAGGACGGTCTCATGCCCATCTAGGTCCATGTTTACGTTCCGACTTAATTTTTTCTTATATCACAGTTCCAACTGATTAACTGCTGAGCTCTAGAATCAGCTTCATGGATAAACCAATTTTACCGATGCTCTGAATCTTCCGGAAGACGGTTCCATAGCCATCCAGGTCCAAGTTTATGTCATGATCCCAAACTCTTTCTTATATTACAGTTCCTAATGTTTAAAAAAAAAACTCGGAGCTCTAGGATCAGTTTCATGGATGGACCACTTTTAAGGATCTTTCGGATCTTCCGGAGGACGGTCTCATGGTCATCCGGGATCATGGATCATTACACGACCCTAAATTATTTCTTATATCACAGTTCCTAATGTTTTTGAAAAAAAAAACAGCGGAGCTCTAGGATCAGTTTCATGGATGAATCACTTTTACGGATGTTCCGGATCTTTCGGAGGATGATTCATATGGCCATCCGGGTCCATTTTTATTTCACGACCCAACATTCTTTCTTATATCACAGTTCCACGAGTTTTCGAAAAAAAAAACACGGAGCTCTAGGATCAGTTTCATGAATGGACCACTTTTACGGATGTTTTGGATTTTCCGGAGGACGGCCCCATGGCCATCCGGGTCCGTGTTTATGTCATGGAACCAAATTCTTTCTTATATCACAGTTCCAAGTGTTTTCGAAAAAACCGCGGAGCTCCAATTTATGGATGTTTCGGATTTTCCGGAGGATGGTCCTATGGCCATCCAGGTCCAGGTTTATGTCATGATCCCAAACTCTTTCTTATAGCACAGTTCCTAATGTTTTTTGAAAAAAACCGCAGAGCTCTAGGATCAGTTTCATGGATGAATCACTTTTACAGATGTTCCGGATCTTTCGGAGGATGATTCCCATGGCCATCCGGGTCCATTTTTATTTCACGACCCAAAATTCTTTCTTATATCACAGTTCCACGAGTTTTCGAAAAAAAATCACGGAGCTCTAGGATCAGTTTCATGAATGGACCACTTTTACGGATGTTTTGGATTTTCCGGAGGACGGCTTCATGGCCAACCGGGTCCGTGTTTATGTCATGGAACCAAATTCTTTCTTATATCACAGTTCCAAGTGTTTTCGAAAAAACCGTGGAGCTCTAGGATCAGTTTCGTAGATTGACCAATTTTATGATTGCTCCGAATCTTCCGGAGGACCGTTCCGTTGTCTCCAGGATCCATATATAGGAACCATGACTGTATTCTGGCCATTTATGAACCCATAAACACACCTTCAAAAAAAAAAGTGAAACGACTCTTTTCGCTTTTGAATAAAGTAGACGACCCTATTTTTTACAACCAAAATAATCTACAGACGCTAGGAATTCTAGAAGAACCACAATTTTTGAAATTCATCAAGAAACTGCTAAGTTATGCTATTACAAACTTGCCGTTACACGTTTTGCGGAGGCATCGTATTCATAGCGTTAAAAGATTATCATGTTCATTTTATGCGAGTTTTGAAAAGAACTCTTTAAAGAGAAATGATTCTTATGAAATTCTTGAGAACATGACAAAGATGTCCTGATGTAGATAATTTCTAGATTTAAAAAAAATAGCCTTTCATAGGTTGTCTAAGGAATTCCGTCTACAATTTTCTTTGAATCATCCCAAGATGTCGTCAGAGTTTGCTTTCAAGATTCCCCTGAACAATTTTATGATTTTTCTCTGGCATTCCCTTGACATTTTTGTCTGTAACAGTTCTAGACATTCTCTGCATTCCACGTAAGGAATCCCCACTAGCAAAGTCTCAGAATTCACTGTACAATTATCCTAGTATTCTATATTCCACGAGGTAGTCGACCCTGTGTAAACCTGAAAACTCAGGGAATCTCTGATTTTTTAAAAAAGTCCTTATTCATAACTGCATACAAACTATAGTCACAGACAAACATACATGACACATTGAATATTTCTCACTGTAAAACATCGTCGCTAAAACATTACCGCCATCTGTTGAGTACCGTTTTAAATTGGCCATTAAATGTTTGTTCGATGAACAACTTGCGAGAGTTATGTCTGTTTGTCTGTGCTATAATGATACCAACAATCATGTAGGAACGTGAAACAATGATTTTGTTTAGAAGGCTTGGATTTGAATTATTTAAACCTTCTCTTCAAGGTTGTGGGACGAATTTCAGTTTGAAGGTTCCGTACTTAGGAACATTTTGAATAATTCATGTCTCAAGTAACAAAAAACGGGAGGAAAATCAGGAAACGTCAGGGAATTTATTTATCATCATTGAGTCGACACCCTGATGTCGCAATAAGATTCTTTTACAATTTTGACAAAGATTGCATTTATCTTTAAAAGCTATCCGAAATAATAATTCATGTCTCAAGTATCAATTTTGGTTATAGCATGTACTTGTAGACCATGATTTAAGCTTTAAGAATGCTTTAAAACTTCGATAAAACCTAAGATGTTGCTTGCAACCGTTCTACGCATAAATGCCCCACGATCCATGGTGATTGTATAGAACAGAGGACACGTTCAGGACGTTCTGCTTATAACGGTAGTACAATTAACCCAAGAAAACCTATGATGCCTCTGAACTTAATTCGTATAGACCCTAAACATTGCCATTGTCCGGCCAAAAAGATGAACCACATGTCATCCGGAAGTGACCCTTAAGATTTCTAAAGTTTACTCGTAACAAGACCTTCTGATCATTATAATGTCCCTTAAGTAATCCCTAAGTTAAGTTCCCGTTGAGTCGATCCAAATGATATCAGCAGGTATCCACCCATAAAACACAACAATTGACTGTAAAGATCTCTCTAGGTAAAGCGTGATGCCTTTGAGCTCAATCCATATCCAGATTATGTGATTGCCTGCAAATCTGCATTTGAACGATCAACCAACCATCCAACCAAGTACATAACTAATTCCATGCCTCTTCTCCTCCATAGGGAACCTAGGACAATTGTTATCCAGAAGGGCCCATCCGGGTTGGGCTTCAACATTGTTGGTGGTGAAGATGGACAGGTTCGTATTCTAGATGTCAACATGGAAAACTGCTCAGCCCATTCTTACCGAGTCCACTTTTCTTTTCCCCAAGGGTATTTTTGTGTCATACGTGCTCGCCGGTGGCGCAGCCGATCTGGGCGGTGAGCTCAAACGTGGCGACCAGCTGCTCAATGTGAACGGTGTCAGCTTGGCGGGGGCGTCCCACGAGCAGGCCGCTGAAGCGTTGAAGGTTTGTCGTAAATATGCGTTATAGCACTTTTGAGGTTCCTAACATGTTTCCCCCGCAGAACGCCGGTGGCACTGTTACGCTGTTGGCCCAGTACCGCCCGGAGGACTACAACCGTTTCGAGCAGCGGATACAGGAACTGAAACAGCAGGTTGTGGCCGGTACCGGAACTTTGCTGCGAACATCACAGAAGCGGACACTCTACGTGAGGTGAGTTGGATTTCTTAATCGTAGCGGCTCACTAATTAAACATCACTTGGTTTACTCCCCCAGGACGCTGTTCGATTACGATCCGAATCGAGACGACGGTTTGCCGGGCCGTGGCCTCCCCTTCCGGCATGGTGATATTCTGCATGTGACGAATGCTTCGGATGACGAGTGGTGGCAGGCCCGGCGCGTGATTGGCGACGACGAGGAGGAAAGCATCGGAATTGTGCCGTCGAAACGACGGTGGGAACGGAAACAGCGGGCACGCGATCGAAGCGTCAAGTTCCAGGGCCATGCCGGGGGAAATATGGAGAAGGTTGGTGGAAAATTTTCCGGAAGTAGTAGGGGGCATGGTTGTTTGATGCGATGTATTTTTGCCTTGTAGGTTTCGACTCTCGATCGGAAGAAGAAGAACTTTTCGTTCTCGCGGCGGTTCCCGTTCATGAAGAGCAAGGACGACAAGAACGAGGACGGCTCGGATCAAGAGCGTAAGTATTCACCAACCAACCATTTTGCATTGATTATCGGTGGCAAACGAGAAACGAACGAGATTTTCATGACTCACGCTCAAGATTTGTAACTGTATCGCTTCATCAAATTTTGCTTTGTTTTAATTTTTTTTTCCCTACCGATGTGCTGTCCAATTTTCCTTACTTCGGTTCGGTTATCTCGTGTTTTCTTTTCTTTTTCGTTCTGTCAGCATTATGGTTTCGCTTTCGTTTGTTGGTTTGTCCTTTCAACTGATTTTGTTTACGTTTTTTTAGCGAATGGCAATGTGTGTGATCAGAATAATCATGATTCCGAGCAACGTAAGTTTCATTCCTTCACGTGGATACTGTCTGTTTTATGTTTTGTCTATCGATCAACAACCATCATTTAGGCAATACCTATCTACTACAGACTCATCTACAAAACCAAGCAGCCAAATCACAAGACTCATTTCTTCCATCCATTTCCAGCTTTCATGCTTTGCTACACACAAGACGACGCAAACGCCGAAGGTGAGTTGAGTTATTTTCTCTATCCATCCACTCTAGCAAAAAGCCCACCCGAAGAGCAATCACAGAGAGAACACATTCACACCTAAAGTCTCGATCTAGATCCGGCAAACCCAAAATTAGTCCAAAGAAAATCAGTCAAATTTGGGGTAAAACGGACTACCTACCGTCGATTCAACCGGAACTAAGACCTTTTAGCTGTCCCGCCTAGAAATGGACCTGATGAATCAATGGTTGTATGTCCTACATACTCACTTCCTTTAATTCCGCCCAATCACCAGAGATTTGAATTGACTTGCCAATTGAAGCAAAAAAAAAAACGATTACACTACCATCATACCCGCTCTCCCACCAATCAGAGCCATTACGCATCCCATTGTCTAATCAACGAAACTGACGCTGTTGTTCTTCTTCAACTGCTTATTCCTTCTTTTGCTCGCGGTTTTGCCCTTTCACCAAATAATAACCGTCAAAAAAAAACTACCATTCGCGCAAACCAACCCAAACAAAAAAAAAACCTTTTCTCCATCATTCCTCTGTTCGGCAAATTCAAACAAAAAAAAAACATTCCAATCCCAAAACACCCATCCAGGGGAAATAATCTACCGCGTGGAGTTACCCGACATGGAGCAGATAACTCTAATTTACCTGGAGAATAATGATGCTGATTGTAAGTCTGGCTTCTGTCTCTTTCTATCTCTTGCTCTTACTCTTTTTACTCACTCATGTCGTATTACTACTACCTACTACCTACTACTTACACTTACCCGTTGCGTTGCGCGCCGTTTTCCGAAAAGCAAAAAATTACAAATTGACATTTTCTGGTTTTTCGGTTTGTCACTTTTTAAAGTCGATTGCGAACACTGCGTGCGCGCATTCTTCCCCCCCTTTGCCTGGAGATTCATTAACGAAGAAGCATGCACAAGTTTCTTTTTTTTTCTGTTGTACTGTTACTTACCCCCTATACTTAATACACACTACTCTACTAGTTAGAATGATACTGGTGAATTACAGTGTGATCGGAACTGCTTCAACCTACTTTTACTGGTCGTTAGAGACCTTCCTGGTCTTGATCCGACACATACACACACACATATACAAACACAGTTTTGGCATACAACTTGAGTAGAATTGAAAAAAAAATGTGTTTAGTTCAATCTTGTAGCTCGGTAGTTATCATCATCCGTTGTTTATTAGTGTTGTTTGAAGTTTAATTTATTTTTGCGGATTCCGTTGGATTCGTTTGTTTTGCATGGTAAATCTCTGTGTATTCTCCTGAGCAGTTTTCGTTCAGTGTAAGTAGTTAGTGGAACTATTCGAAATATATCTGAGGACTACAATTTTCATCATTGTCACCTGTAGTGGAATGTTCGCGTTATCCAAATCGTTGGTGCTACATAACTCTGAACTCTATAACGAAGTCGGGATGTGAAGAATATCGATTTGAAGAAAGAATGGAAGTCAACTAAAACTTAAAAATGCTGTCTGTGCAGAGGGTAGCTAGAAGTGAATTTTATTTCCAAACTTAGTGACGCTTTATACTATGTAGGTATGATGCTACTTTTCATGCAGTCGATTTTCGATATTGTTTGAGTGTTGGCGCGTTTACCGTGGCCAACTCCGGTGGGTTGGAAGTGGACTGTATTTCGTTCGGATTGAAAGATTCAACACACTAATCAAATTATCACCTTAACACTACTTTTATTCTAACTAGTTCACTATTTCTCTACAGATTGCTTTCTTACTTCACTGGATGTAACTTGGATGGTGGTCGGAATAATACTTAAAAAAACGCTGGCTGGCTGTGTCGCTTTTATAGCAGTCGTCCTATCGTATTTTGCTACTTTTGGTCCTATATACTTGCCTGCCGTGCGCTACGGCGAGCAGCAGGCAGCAGCATGTTGAAGAGAAGTATATACTGCTTCTCCCTTCTCGTTCGGTGTCCTTAAAATTCTACCTGGAGTGCGTTGTTGCCACGATGGGTGGTTTGAATGACGATCGTTTGCGTTGTGTTTTGGAAGCTACTATAGCTTGTTTCGCACGGAACATTGAGGGATAGTGTTAATCGTTCGAAATGTTGCGGAAGTGGACAAGGCACGACTACCGAGAACTGACGCGAGGTTCTACCACGAGAAACCGGGACTTTTCCGAATTTTAGAACCGAAAATGAATTGTGGCGAACGGATACGATTGAAATCGAAAGAACACGTTTGTGATTAATAATAATTTCCTTTTTATTCACTCAAATTACGCGGTTGTTCTTCTACTCTCTATCGTTACACGAATGACTTCTTCTCTCAAAGCGGCAGCGGTGGTGTAGCGGTAAGCGTGCTTACCTATCAACCCAGCATGCCTAGGTTCAATCCCAGTCGGCGCCGCCGGGATGTTCTGAGGCATAACATCTCTGATCACGCCTTCCTATGGAAGGGAAGTAAAGCCGTTGGTCCCCGGTTCATGAGTTGATGGGTCGATAGGTAGGATCCAGGTGTGGGAGCTGCCTTCCTGGCACGTCGGTAGCATTGGTGCTCAGCACGGAAAACAAGATCGACGGAAAACAAATCAAGGAAAAAAAAAGATGTAATCGTTTCTGGTGCTCCAAACCTTGATATCCAACCCGACGTTATTGCCTTGGCGACCTTGGTAGGAGCCGTCATGTCCGGTAAAGGAATTGCCTCAGGCCAACGCGTGAAGCGGTCTATGATGGTCAGCATGTACCGGTTTCCATTTGATGGGGGAAGTGGACCTACCAGATCGATGTGTATGTGCCGGAATCTGGACTTAGGAGCATCAAATGGAACAAAATAATTGATGTCCTTGTTCATTGCAGGCCATACAAATCTGTCTGCAATCAGCTTGCGTATTGCTTGTGCTCGCTGGGACGAAAGGACGAATTCGATTATTCTGTGAAATATCGCAGTATACAAGCCGTGTGATGTTCGGGTTTTGTATTGGTTCCATTTTCAATGAAGATGATGTCATTAGACTTTTCAGTTCTCCATCTCCGATTTGATCCTCGGCAATGGCGGATAAATCGATTGCAGCTACGGACTCCACTCTGGATAAAACATCAGCTACAGTATTGTCTACACCACTGATGTGGCGAATGTCAGTGGTGAACTGCGAAATGTATCGCAAATACCTTTCTTCGTGAGGAAGTCTGCTCGAGGAATTGGTACCTATAGCATATGTTAGTGGCTTGTGATCAGTAAGGACGAAGAACTTGCGACCCTCCAAGAAATGACGGAAGTATTTAACCGTCATCTTCATAGCTGTGAGTTCCCGACCGAAGGTTGAATAATTTCTTTGGGAATCCGAAAACTTATCGGAATAGATTCCGAGAGGCTGCCATGCTGATGCAGATAGCTGTTGAAGCACCGCACCCGCGGCATTGTTGGATGCGTCGATCATTAAGGCTAACGGTTTATTCGAATCAGGATAATGCAACAGCGCGGAATTCGCCAACGATTTTTTGCGCTCAAAAGCTGCTATTGCAGAATCGTTCCACTCAATCACCCTGGTGTCGTTCTTTTCGTAATTCTAATTGCATATCGACTGCCCTTGGAATGAACCGCTTGTAAACTTAACAAGAACCTGCGTAGGTCTTTAACGGTCGATGGACGGGTGTACTCGAGAACAGCTTGAACTCTCGATGGAAGCGGTTGTACACCTTTGCTGCTCACCAAATATCCAAGGAATTCAACCTGAGGTTGTGCGAAATTGCATTTGGAAACATTGATCACCAGACCATACTGCTTTAATCGATCAAAAACAATTCGCACGTGTACCATATGCTCTTCAAGCGACGTCGATGCAATGCAGATACATACAGATAAAAACAACTACGAAGTCTAGGTCACCGAATATTTTATTCATGAAACGTTGGAACGATTGGCTTGCGTTGCATAAGCCGAATTGCATTCGGGTGAACTCATACAACCCGAACGGAGTAACAGCTGTTTTTCCGGAACGGTGACCTTGTTCAGCTGTTGATAGTCCCCAATGAACCTCCACTGTCCGTTCTTTTTTGGGACGCAGTGCAGCGGACTAGCCCAGCTGCTGCTAGACGGTCTGCAGATACCCAGCTCCGACATCAACGCGAATTCCTCTTTTGCTGCTTTTAACTTGTCCGGGTGCATTCTCCTCATTTTCGATGCAACCGGAGGCCCCTTGGTTACAATGTGGTGCGAGACATCGTGTCGAATAACCGCTTGCAACGTTGCCGGGAGTGTTATTTGCCGATATTCCATTAGCAGCTCGTGGAATGGATGATCTAGATTAACTGTAGTGATGCTGTGGATGTTTGTGTTCATCATGACACCAGTGGACTGCAGGTTGGTCTTGGCATCGACTAACCTCCTGTTTCTAAGGTCGACTTGCAATAGTTCGGTGGAAGCTAATCACACAACACTTTGAGTCGCACAGGAGCATAAAATTACGCACTCACCAATCATGAAACATCTCCAGAAGCTTTTGTAATTCTAAGCAATCAGCTTGGTTGCGAACAACAATGTAAATTTTCAGGTCATCAGCAAAAAACAATTTACCTCCGCTAGGCAGGGCCTCCCTTAGCTCAATCGGTAAAGGCGCAGCTACAAAGCAAGACCATGCTGGAGGTGGTTGGGTTCGATTCCCGGTCCGGTCTACGAATTTTTCGGGTTGGAAAATTTCTCGACTTCCCTGGGCATAGAGTATGATTGTACTTGCCACACAATTATACTAATGCAAAAATGGTATAGGCATCGAAAGCTCTCAATTAATAACTGTGGAAGTGCATCTAGAACACTAAGTTGAGAGCACGCAATAAGTTAAAATGCGATAAGCATTAAGTTTGAAATGCGATGAAGAAGAAGAAGGCAGGATAAACGTTGCATCGTTCACAAATAGAGGGAAGAGCAGTGGTCTCAGTATGCTTCCCGGTGGAACTTCGGAACTGTTCGAGAAGCAGTAAGATGAGTAGTTTCCGATGCATACAGTAACTTGCCGTTGTACCGATCTCAGCCAACTGCAGAAGGGAGCAGAACATCCAATTTTGTCCAGTTTTGCTAGTAGAATGACTTGCACAACTTTATCAAACGCAGCTTTAAGATCTGTGTAGATGGCATCCACTTGGAGTTTCTTAGATACATTTTCCATGCAGAAAGACGTAAAGCAGACGAGATTCGTTTCGACGGAGCGGCCACGAAAGAAGCCATGTTGGCAAGTGCTAATGTAGTTTTTGCAGGAACCAAACAATCTCTCATTGACCAGCGACTCGAACACTTTAGATTCGACCCCGAGCGAGGTAATCCCCCGGTATTTTTCCACATTGCATTTGTCTCCTTTCTTGAAAACAGGGAACATAGTAGAGCATTTCCAAAGCGTGGGAAACTTACGCTGATGGAGCGATAGATTATTAATTTTTTCAGCACGGCAGATGGCATAACGCTCGGTCCGGGTGAAAAAGAAGATGTAGTTTTCCTTATCGCAGAGAGAACCATTTCAACATCCACAGTAAAAACATCCATGTTTACGACATCGGTTGGCACATCGCGGACTGCTAGATTGATTTCAGCTTGCGATGGTGAGTCGTTCGAGAAAACGCTCGAGAAGTGCCTTGCAAAAAACCTGCATTTATCCTCAGTTGTCAATGCTACGTCGTTGCCCAGAAACACCTTCGATGGGGGACCAGTTTCCTTTCTTTTAGTATTTACGAACGACCAGAATCCCCTAGGATTGCTTCGCAGATTGCGTTCAGTGCGAATTACATACCGCTGGTAGAGGAGCTTGTTGTAGCGGCGATAGTTGTTACTGGCAATTGAAAAATTCCGTTTGGTCAAGAAAAACCGCCGATGAATAAGGGCACGAAGTGTTCTAGCACGTGCTCTTTTCAGGTTGCCGAGAGCAGCGTTAATCCATGGCGGTTTTCTAGGAGGTAGGCACTTTGACACTGAAGCAGAAATACAATCGCGCAGAAAGCAATTATAGCGATCGACAGCTATGTCGATCTCCAGGTCATTCAACACGTTCCAGTCTATCTCGGACAAGGAACGTCGCAGCAAACGTAAATCAGTATTCCGGAAGTTGAGACGATAGACAATCGAAGTTTCATCAAAGTGAAGTTGAGATCTATTTGCGATAGAAATATCCAAAGCAGGATGGAAGTTGTCAAGAGGAACGATAACATCACACGCCTCAGTAACGGTACAGTCAAGAAGTGAATTTTCACTAACGAACATCAAGTCTAGGAAATGAGACTGAAAGTTGGGAACTAGATTTATCTGCCTCAATCCATGAAAACCAGTACCGTCCACAAGCTAGTGGCTGGCCGGAGTAGTAACAGATGCTATTGGATCTGGATATGCAAATCCCTGATCTGAGTGCGATTGAAATCACCGAGCATAAGAATCATGTCCGAATAATTAGCCATAGAAGAAGTAAATTCTACAGCATCCATATGGAGTTGCATTATGCTACAGTCGAGACGTCGTTCAGGGGAAATGTACACCGCTCCAATAAAAATGCTCCGTGAAGCGAGGCTAATTTTAACCCAAACAGTCCCAATCGAAGTAAATTGTTCATAGGCGATCTGGCAAGAGGCAAATGCGTTGGAAACAGCTACAAGAACACCACCTCCGCGAGTACGAACACTGTTGGCAAGATTACGGTTCAATCGGTAGACACTAAAGGAGTCACCGAACAGTTGCACAGAATTGATCCTCCCATCAAGCCATGTCTCCGTGAAGACATAAACGTCTAACTCCTCGTCAAGCGCAGCAAGATAAACATCGTCCAATTTAGTCTTGAGTCCTCTGGTGTTTTGATAGTACACACGTAAACCGCGTTGAGATACAGCGTGTGCCCCGCAAGAAGGTAAACTGCAACTCGAAGAGGTATCAGAACTTGACAAATATTCATCTATGCAACTGTACTTGCCTCTGGTCACAGGTTGGAAGACCCCATCTCCGTTTCCGAGCTCAGGACCGGGACGACTATGACGGCGGGACCCAGCAAGCTCGACTGAGTCGGAGGGATTAGGGGCTTCCGGTAGAGTCAGGCCGTAACGATATCCTGGAAGCCAAAGAACTATCAACCAACGAATTGCTGATACGTGAGGAATACTTGCCTGTAAGAGGGTTCTGGAAGACCCCGACACCAACCTCGACCACAGGTCCAGAACGACTGTGAAGGCAGGAACAAACAGCAAGGACGACTGGGTCGGGAGGACTAGGGGCTTCCACAATGCTACAGGCAGTGCGTTCTGGGTTGATTTCAGCAAGCAGCAGTGAATTGATTGATTCCAATGTAGAGGATACTATTGGCAACCGGTATCCGCTGGTGGTTTCGCAACATAACTGATGACTTGACGGTTTTTTGAGTGGTTTTCAAATTCACGGAAATACACGTTCTCAGGCCATGTTTCTTCTGACAATGCAACGTCCTTCAGATCCTTACTAACGCCCACTTTGAAAGTCACAAAGCTAAGTGTGGCAGGGTCTTTGTCCTTAGGCACCAACCTGATAACCATCGGGGCCCAGATTCATGCAGGTAATTACTAGTGATGCGATGTCATCATCTGGAGTGTTGGGATCAAAAGCTGACCGATAAATCCATAGCAGATCCTCACGCTGTGGCACTGTTTTCAACGTATTAAAGGCCGATTTAGTCCCACAAGTAACCGGAGCTTTCGCCGACGACAGGTTCTCATCACGCTTCCGTTTCGGAGTGTTGGGAACAGGATTCGACCCAAAGATTTTTGGCCATGAAGGATTCAAAACGGGAGCTGGAGCTTCAGCCCAGCTATGTCGTGCGAATTCACTGAAGCTTCATCAGTTAAATTTTCAGCAGTGCACCGTGGCGTAATTTTTCTAAAGTGGTCGCTGGAAAACACATCCGCGCAACCATCGCACATCCAGAAAAGATTCCGGCAATGGGTTCCCAACGCCTCGTGTAGCGAATAATCCACCTTTGCACAGATCAAGTGAAACAAATTACCGCAGTACCGGCGGCAAAAAAATTTCTCCGAATCCGATAGGGAGCATCCATAAATGACGTAGCATATTTTTGATCAATTTTAGACCCCTCCTCCCCCCCCTCGTAGCGTATTTGGCTATATCCAATACATGGCCGGTCACAAATTCTGAAACCCCCACCTCCCCCCTCAAATGCTACGTCATTTATGCATGTTCCCATACAACTTTTTTGCAACTGGTGCATGCCATCCTTACTGATGATCGATCGAAAGTGATATCGCCAGCAAATATGCTTCACGACAGACAGCACTGGTTCCTTTTTATTCCAGGAGATGTCGCTTCACGCGAAAAAAATTGCGTGGGGAGGTGGTAGGTGGTTGCTAATCAGTGACAACACAATACCAAACAAAGCACAGCACTCGCGACACGTTTTATACACGGTTGGCACTAGAAATGCTCTGAACTTTACCGACGAAGGGTGGAGAATGAAATAAACAAACGGACACGCAACATAAAAAGAATTAAAAAGCGCTACGGATCACGAAAATTAGTCTTAGAAAATCGTAATGAATACTGTAAACACAACAACAGGAAACCTCTTGACCTCTTCAACCACCCAAAATTTCCGAAGAACCTTGTCGATGTCCATGTCCATGCTGAGACTGATGATGTCCGTGTTGCAATTCACCTCGCTGATGTCGAAAACTTGACCGGCAACAATCCATCCAACAAAAGTTGAGTTGATCGCCACTGGAAGTCCCGATCCATCTTTTACCTTGCCGTCTTCCAAAATAGCCAAGAAAACATCAGCTGTCGGACTTGTCAAAATGTGGGTCTGCTAACTGCAACGTTTCCAAACATTCTAGCCGTTCAGGATCCAATCGATGGTTTGGTACGATCCGGGGAAACTTGGACAGCACATAAGCCTTGACGTTGACCACCGAATTGTAGCAAAAACGAGAAGAAATTTCCAGGTCGACGACTCCTCTGGTGGTTTCCGATGAGCAGCTTGCGATTCCGGTGACAATCCACGCAATGCTTAGTGATAGGTGATGCTTGTGAACCGCTATCGATCATCACTCGTGCTTCCTGGCACTGATCATCAATTCGCTTCACTCGTACTAATGCGGTTTATAGTAGGTCGATGACAACCGAAGAACAGCTGTTTTTGTTGTTATCGTGCAGGACACCGCTGGCTTGATGTCGACTGCTGCAGAACTTTGCGGCTGCTGTGGTGAAGGCGAAGACGAAACTTGCTTTTCTGAAGGCGGGGTCGATGTTAGCTCATTGTTGTCTGCCTTGCACCGCATCGTATGGTTACGTTGTTGACAGTGTGGTGTGCACTCATAAATCCTGTAGCTTTCCGCGCAAACAGGACACGACTGCTGTTGAACTGCATTGAATGCCTTGATTTCGTTTTTCGCGGTGAGTTGTTTTAGAGCCCCTGTAAGGTTCATTTCTACCGTACTCCGAGGGTTTTACCCCGAGTGCTGCACATGTCTCCAACGCTTCACACTTCCTTTTAAGAAACTTGAGAAGATCGACGAACGTTGGGTCGTTATTATCCACAATATGCTGTGGCCGAAGACCATCATCAAGCTTCTTCAGTACGATGTGATTCAACCAAGGATCTCCAACTATTGCGTGAGATCTTTCATTGAAAATGACATTTGCCAGCCCTGGTTCAGCTTGAAATGTGAATTTCCAGAGAAACGAAAATGTTGTTCCCAAGAATCGGTTATTTCCTTTTCCAGGAAAATCGATCCCGCGAATAAAAAACACTACTTCATACTGACATAAAACTTAGTACTTGGTGATATGGATTGGCGACAATAATAGTGTGAACCCACGTGCACTCTATTGTTGTGAAAATGTTTAATGAAACGTAAGGTATATGTACCAGTTATGGTTATACGTTCCTACTGAGGTGTGTTCCAATTATAGTCAATGGAATTCCCAAAGTAGCCGATGAACTCTTAAATCTAATATTGAAAGTAAATAATCCCATCGAATTAACCGTAACTCGGAATTATTTATGACTGTGTCTCAAGCGTTTAACCATCACGTTCCTCTAAGTGTCCCCCTACTCCCCTCACAAAAAAAAAAATATGTATGTAAAAACCAAAATATGTAACTACTACTCGTTGTCTTACTTTAGAAGGCATTGCAACTCCAGATATGGCTCTCACGTTTCCATAATCGATGTTGTTGTTCTCACCGCTACTGATCTCATTAAACTGCTCAACTGTTATCTTCCGGGCTTTGCCCACCTACCTGTCTACCTATCCGAATTCGATTGATATTTTCTTTAGATGGTTTACCTGTTTCCCCTAATCCAGACAACCAGACGACCAAGTCACAGACGGAGTGTTTTTGAGGTCCGTTTTACCCCCTCTCCAAAATTGTTTTTTTTTGCCAATCAAATTCCGTGTCACAAATTGCGCACATGTTGTGGGAAGTTTGTTCCTTTGAGCAGTTTAACGTCAGTGGTGCGTGACGGACTTTGCTTGCAGTCTGATCCCGTTGTCCCGGAATAGGAGAAACTCAGTTCCTCTTTTGCGTTCTTGTTTCCCCTATACAGCCGAAGAGAACATCCTCTCGTACGAGTCGGTCCAGCGCTTGCAGATCGGCTACACCCGACCGGTGATTATCCTGGGTCCACTGAAGGATCGCATTAACGATGACCTCATTTCGGAGTATCCGAACAAGTTCGGTTCGTGCGTTCCTCGTAAGTTAAATCTTTAAATTTGAATCTTTGGGATGTGATGGGTGACTAAGAACGTTCGCTCATTTCTCAGATACCACACGGCCGAAGCGGGACTACGAGGTGGACGGCCGGGACTATCACTTTGTGGCGTCGCGGGAACAGATGGAGAAGGACATCCAGAATCACCTGTTCATCGAGGCGGGCCAGTACAATGAGAACCTGTACGGCACATCGGTGGCCTCGGTCCGCGAGGTGGCGGAGAAGGGTAAACACTGCATTCTGGACGTGTCCGGTAATGCGATCAAGCGGTTGCAGGTGGCGCAGCTCTACCCAATTGCCGTCTTCATCAAGCCGAAGTCGGTGGAATCGATCATGTAAGGTTGAAGGCGTTCCGAGAGGATTGCTAAGGTTTTAATTGTGCCGTTTTGCAGGGAAATGAACCGACGGATGACTGAGGAACAGGCCAAGAAGACTTACGAGAGGGCACTCAAGATGGAGCACGAATTTGGCGAATACTTCACAGGTAAGTCTTTACCCGGTAACTTCGGATATTAACGTTATCGTTCGTTGGAACGAAAGACAATTTTTTGACGAATCTTGAGTATTTGATGTGCTGTGAAATTTTTGTAGCGACAATGAGTGAGTCCAATATTTCTTGTTGTTGTTTCTTATCTGGGTACCCGAGCCAAGTCGGGTAACAAAATGAAAGCAAATCGATATTAAAGTTTGCAGTTCCTACCATAATGCAGGGTTGGTAGCAGGTCGCTTTTTAGTGGCTAGGTCACTATTTTTAAGTCAGTCACTTTACTTGCACTTCCACTGACGGTACATTTACCAAACACATAAATGTCATCATCAAGCCGATTGTGTTGGTAAATGTACACGTGAAAAGGTACAGCCCATTCGGAAATGGTACCTAACTTACTGCTCCAATTTCATGCAAATTTACCTTAACTCAAAGATACCGTCAAGTAGAACAACCAATCTGCATGCCCAGCTTCATTCTCAATCAATCAATCAATCAATTACTCAATCTATTGTGCAGCACTCGTACAAGGCGACACGATCGAGGAGATCTACAGCAAGGTGAAGAACGTAATCTGGTCCCAGAGTGGCCCAACGATCTGGGTGCCCTCGAAGGAATCTCTATGACCTCAAGCGAATATCACGTGGACGCTGCCACCAAATATGCGCGCCCGGCCCGTTTCGCGATCCGGCTACCACCATTGACGGTAACCCCGAGATAACTGCGGATAAGAGTAGCATGAACAACTCACACAAAAGGGTGAATGGTGAAGGCACACGAACATTCTGTCTCACAAAAGAAATACACACATACACACACATACAAACCACACCATATAGTCACTCACACCTACTTAGATCCCGGTGAGAGTCTCTACTACTCTAGTCGGGGGCAGTAGTTGCGCGCGCAGTTGTGCGTCAAATCAATATAGCAATTCGGCTGCTAGCGGAGAATGAAAATAATGAAGAAAAACATGTTGTTGTTTATTATTATTTTTAAATTATATATAATATATTAATACGAGTACGATCGTAAGGTGAGTAAGATTTTTAAGAGAAAATTTGCATTGAATATGGACATTTATTTAAATTATTTTGTTCAAAAATAATAAGCTTATTACTTATTGATGAATGTTTATTAAATCAATATATTTATATAAAAGAAACACATATATAAATTATATATCTAATAAAGAAAAACGGATTAAACTATATTCAAAAAAATGCATACATTGATCAAGAAAAGGAAACATGTATATTAAAGAAAATCTATTAAAGTTTAGAAATCATCCACGGAATAGTTCGTGAATCCTCCTACCCCCCCCCCTTTTTGAAACCCCGCCCAGTCTTCAGGCGCATATGCTTTCAAGAAAATTTTCACAACTCTAGACTAGATATGCATCGGTTTTGGGAAGACACGAAAAGCATTTAAGCCAGAAAGTCAGTTCATCGTACGCAAAATCAAGGCAAACAGTTAATTGTTAGTCTAATTTTGGACAATCATCAACGTATTTTCCCTCACTTGTATCCCTTCCCCCTTTCTCGATAACTCTCTATATCTCAGTAAACATTCATCGTAAGAACAAACACAAAAACTGAACGTGAACTAACTCGCCTAGCATTAAACAACAAAATACAATAAACTCGAAATATGTAACATTGTTTTAAATAACCGAATTAGTTTAATATTTATGGTTTTTAGACGAAAGCGAGAATTTAACTCACTTAAACCCTCCTCACAAAATTAGAATCCCAAGTGCAAGCGCAAACACCATTCGTTTTTGTTTTTACTAGTGTATAAATAGTGCAAATTGTGGAAGAGTACATACAAACACATGTTAAGAATTGTAACCGGCTTTGTGCTCTGAATCATCTCACGCCAGATAGGACGCCCGAAATCGAATATAAAACCCCGGAACAAAAATATCGAAACCAAGACGCATTTGTTTGTTTGTTTTCAAAGAGAACCGACTTGATATTCGTGCCAAAATTTTACAAAAAACATCCTCCCCTCCAAAAGCCATCCAACACACACACACACATAATTCATCATAGACAAGTGACACAATAATAAATGAAACAGAATGCGGTCATTGTTCCCACTCACTCGATGTAATGAAAGTCGAGAAAATGAGCCTCAAAATCAAGTATTGCAATTGTATGGAGTACAGAACTACAATGAAAAAAAAAGTTGCGGCAACTATTACGACGGAAAGTCAGTCCCTTCATTAATTAACCAAATTGGCATTTACTCTACTATTACTACTACTATTACTACCACTACCACTAATTGGTAGAAGGCAAACTTGTATCTCTTCTCTTCGATCGCCGTAGGAAAATCGCTGCAATCTAGAGCATCCTAGCCCTTTTCTTTTTCTGTTTAAAAGAAATTCCCTCTGAGAATGACACAAAAAAAAACACACACACACACACGGACACTCATTCACTCTCCAACCGAAACCGGAATATGACTCTACTAGTGCGTGAGAAAAGGAGGAAGAAAAAAAAAGAAGTTAAAGATATATTGTAATTGAATTAGAAAGCTGCCTTAAAACAAAAATCCCAAGTTTTATAAAAGAAAAATCAGATAATTTTGGCTAGAGCAAGTAAAACTAAATAAAAGCGAAAAAAAAAATTGTTAAGATGAACAAAAAACTGATGATGACTATGTGTACATATGATTAAAAAAGAAAACAGAAACTAAAAGCAAAAAAGCAGAGAAAGTTAAGCACATTAGATGATTACTGAAAATGAAACCTTGATGATCGTAAAAAAAAAATACTGAAAAAACACTCCCAAAAAAAAACTCGTTGAATTGTTCTGATGATTAGTGAAAAAGGTGAAAAAAAGATATGAAAAGCAGAGAAACTAACACTTATCCACATACTCACATACAAACAACACTCACACATACTCTGGCGTAAACTGGTTCGCGGTTTTCAGCACTGATGCAAGTGTGGTGGTGCAGACGGGACGGCAGACGAGACGGCCGAATGAAATGAAATGTGGACAAATTGTTTAGCTCTTGTAATTGCAATAAACGCGACATTACGTAAAAAAAAAATCCGTTCGTGACCCGTCGTCGCCGGTGGGGGTTGTTATTTGTGATGACATTCCTTCTTATTCTTCGTTTCTACTCGATCTGGAGTCTACTCTTCGCACATCTATCACCATCTACCGAAATGAGGACCTAAGCAACCGTTTGGAAACGGATCATGGAGCAGAATGGTATGCAACGGATTTATGACACTGTCAGTGGTGATGATGATGATGGTCCCACCTCTTATCCCTACAAAGGTTTGAGCTGGACGATTTATCTTTAAGATAATTAAATATGACATTTTAACCAGGCTAGCAAAAAAATCGAACTGCTTTCAGTTGCAGATATAAATTCCCTTTTACAGTTTACAGTTGCTTCACTGCGATATAAATGTGGAAAAGTTCAGGCCTTTTTGTCCCCCTAAAATATTCATATGTAAAGGGTGATACGGTCAAAATTTGGTCAATATCAACTTGACGTATTTCTTACAATTTTGCATTTAAAAAACCTGAACACCCCTCATTTTGAAGGTGTGTGTGTGTAGAATGTTGCTCCTATTTTGATTTTGGAATTCACTCTTCAGTTGTCAAAATGCCGTCCAAGCAAGAAGAGCAGCGTATCAAAATTTTGCTCGCGCATCGCGAAAATCCGAGCTACTCGCACGCAAAGTTGGCAAAATCGCTAAAAGTTGCCAAATCAACCGTTACAAATGTAATTAAAGTGTTTGGGGAACGTTTGTCGACAGCCAGGAAGTCTGGATCGGGGGGAAATCGAAAACCGGAAGCCGCTGAGACGACAAAGAGAGTTGCCGGTAGTTTCAAGCGAAACCCTAACCTCTCTCTCCGAGATGCCGCAAATAAGCTGGGTGTATCGTCTACAACCGTGCATCGAGCCAAAAAACGAGCCGGACTATCGACTTACAAGAAGGTAGTGACTCCAAATCGCGATGATAAACAAAATACGACGGCCAAAGCGCGATCCCGGAGGCTGTACACGACGATGCTGACGAAGTTTGACTGCGTGGTAATGGACGACGAAACCTACGTCAAAGCCGACTACAAGCAGCTTCCGGGACAGGAGTTTTATACGGCAAAAGGAAGGGGAAAGGTAGCAGATGTTTTCAAGCACATGAAACTGTCAAAGTTCACAAAGAAATATGTGGTTTGGCAAGCCATCTGTACCTGTGGCTTGAAAAGCAGCATTTTCATAGCTTCCGGGACTGTCAACCAAGAAATTTACGTGAAAGAGTGTTTGAATAAACATCTGCTGCCTTTCCTGAAGAAACACGGTTGTTCCGTACTGTTTTGGCCGGATTTGGCATCTTGCCATTACGGTAAAAAGGCCATGGAGTGGTACGCCGCCAACAACGTGCAGGTGGTTCCCAAGGACAAGAACCCTCCCAACACGCCAGAGCTCCGCCCAATTGAGAAATACTGGGCTATTGTCAAGCGGAACCTAAAGAAGACCAAAAAAAAACTGCTAAGGGCGAGCAGCAGTTCAAGGCAAACTGGCTTTCTGCGGCGAAGAAGGTGGACAAGGTGGCTGTACAAAATCTGATGGCAGGGGTCAAGCGTAAGGCCCGGCAATTCGGATTTGGAAAAGCGGAAGCCTAACTGAATATTTTTCCTGAATTTTATACTAATTGAACTTGAAAAAGAAATTTAATTTGATTTTTTAAATAAACGATTTCACCGATTTACACGCGTTTTCCCTTGACCAAATTTTGACCGTATCACCCTTTATTACAAGCGATCAAGAGTTAATGAACAATCAACAAAGCATCCTATTACACTAGCAACCCCGCAATCTGATGCTATCATAATTTTCAACAATGTCAGGAATGCTCACGAACCCCCAAGATTTGCCCGAACACTGACTACTAACTCAAGGTATCTTCCAAATAAGCTTCAAAATTGCATTTTTTTTAATAAAATTTTAAATTCAGTCCTCCATATCCGTTATACGCACGCGAGGCTCAAACCTTTGTAGACTATTTTTTTTTAACCTACTACTATTAAATCAAATATTAAAAATCCATCATCACCCTCGTGACGAACAGAAATAGTTTTTGCAGTGCTACAATAATTATTAAAATGTCGTTATGACAGCTATCTATATAAAATAATTCGTTAGAGATAACTTCGTCAAGATGCATAATTTGTCAATTCATAAAAAAAATCACTGGATAGCAGTTCAAACGACAGATTTAACGTGTGAAATGCAGAGTCTTTTAAATTCTGTGAGTATTGCTGATTGTTCGATATGTCTAGGCATCGAATTGAAAACATTTATTCCTTTAAAATATAATGAATTTTGTGAAGCACAAGTGTGAAGTCAAGAAATGTGGTGTTCTTATTTCAACCGCGTTTCTAGCATTATATCTATGAAAGTCACTTCCTCTTTCAATTCGATCACACAAATATCGAGGCAGCAATCCGATAACTACTTTAAAAATAACCGCCATAGTCAAATATACAATTCTTTGCTTCACCGACAACCATTGTAAGGCGTCTAGCATCAAAGTTGAGGAAGTGAATCTATTGCATCGCAAAATCAAACGCATTATTTTATTCTGCAAGCGCTGTAATCTCGATATTTGTGTTTCATTGGACAGAAATAAAATGGAAGGGCAAAAGTCAAGATGAGGAGAGATGATTGATTTGTATAACTGTATTTTACTGGCAATAGTTAAATCGTTTTTCAGTCGACATAGAATTC